GCCACTGCAGCAGCGAAAGGCGACAGAACAGCATCTTGTACAGCATTTTAAAGAACGACAGTCAGTCTGCGCAACTTGGGAATCAGCCGAGGACCCCGAGGCTCGCCTTGTCCATGCGCGCGTGTGCGTGCGGCTCCAAGAGGAAGGTGTCTCTCCGCTCCCCTCAGACCACATGCAAAGCCGCCTCCGCGGTCCTGGTCAAGACCCTGAAGTTTGTGAAGAACGTGCCGTGTTTCCGGGAGCTGCCGGTGGATGACCAGCACACGCTGGTGCGGAGCAGCTGGGCGCCGCTGCTGGTGCTCGGGATGGCGCAGGACAGGATCGACTTCGAGACTTCGGAGACACAAGAGCCCAGCATGCTGCAGCGGATATTAACGAGCGGACAGGACAAGCAGGACAGCCAGAGTAATAACGGCGGAGTGGCGTTGACCGACGTTCAGGGTATTAAAATGTTTCTGCGGAAATGCTGGGGACTTGACATAAGCACTAAGGAGTACGCGTACTTAAAAGGGGCGATTCTCTTCAATCCAGGTGAGACACACTTGCTACACTGTCACACCTGAATTGGGACACTTCCTAGCTGCCGTTAAGAATAACCGGTTTTACTATGACTCACTCTGAAATTAATTTATTAACATTCATAACAACAAAAACAACAACAATAATAACAATAATATTAAAACCCGAATTAAGACAGTTCATAGTTGCTTTTTACTGCTTTACATTTAAATCACATTGTAGCCTAATAATTAATAATACTAATACTCAAATTAGAACAGGTCATATTTCCTTTTAACTGCTTTAAATTTAAATCACATTGTAATAATTCATATTAATCATATTAATCATAATCATAATAATAATCATAATGCATACATACATGCAAACATGCATACATACATACTTAAATTACAGTTCATAGTTGCTTTTAACTTTAACTGACTTAAATTGAGATCAAATTGCAATTAATAATATTTATAAGCATTAACTGTAATAAAAGTAATGATGATAAAACACACAGCTAGAGAAATATCAGTATTTTAAAAAGCTGCTTTTAATATGTCACATTGAATTCTTATCTAATCATTTTGTAATATGAATTGTATAGTATATATAATTCATAAATAATAATAATATACTTCAACTAATAAATATTGTCATTACTATAATATGCTAATAATAATAATAATGTTGGGGTATGTAACAGATCAGCAATTAAAATATGAATATATGACAATATACGAATCAAAGTTTCATGACATATATGTTTCTTTGTTTATCATGAATTGTTTTCAAAAATTCATAATTTTGAGAATTACAGTCAAGTGTACAGGTAATCAAAAGGTATCTTTTTCACATCATCAAGTTCTTTCTGGTACAGGATATAACAAGTCTCTTTCCATCTCTTGTTCCTAGATGTTGCAGGGCTGCAGTGTCAACATTACATCCAGGCCCTGCAGAGCGAGGCGAACCAGGCACTTAATGAATATGTCAAAATGATTCACCGCAGGGACAGTGCAAGATTCGCCAAACTCTTCCTCGCCCTCTCCATGCTGAGATCCATCAACGCCAATGTGGTGGCTGGTCTCTTCTTCAAACCGGTCATTGGCGCTGTCAACATGGAGGAACTTCTTCTGGAGATGTTTTATGGAAAATAAACTCTAATGCAAATGCCCAGACAGAATGATCAAACTGGGAAAGAGTGGCAGTCAGCAGTGAATGGACAGATTTTGAAAATGACCGATTCCTTTTTACACATGCTATTTTTGTACGATATATAAGAGCTCTCTTTTTGCCTTCTGAGTTGAACTCATCGCTGAATCCAAAGTTGATGACAATGTTTTTTCCATTTGGGGAAAGAGCTTTATAACTTTGTTCTGATTGTGCAGTTTTTTTGTTTACTTGCTTTCCTGTGATGTCGTGCAGCCTTCTGATGAATGTTATTTGATTCTCTGTGACACTTTGTAATTACTTTCATTAAGAAATCATTAACAGGCATTCATTTATATGTATTGCATTGAATATATTCATTGAAATGTAATTATATTTGATTTAAATAATATATAACATTTAACAATAATAATAAAAAAGAATAATATATCTAAACATTTCATGACATATATTTGAATACAAATAAACTAATGACCTGTTTTGCATTTTATAATAATTTTAATTTGTAATAATTTTGGTTGGCATTGTTAATGAAAGTTATTATAAAATGTTAACTATGTTTGAATATTAGAAAGTATTGTACATTTTTGTTATGCGATGACATAATGAAACAGTTACACTCCTTCAGATTTCCCACAACATGATTGACAGGTAGCCTATGCATTTTTTGCATTACAGTAACAGTACGATTTCAAAAACATGTTAAAGTGACGACAGACCTAAGCACAAATACAAAACAGATATGAAAATAAAAATATTAATTAGGAAATAATTGATTGTGGCATTGTTCTTACTTCAACGTAGTTTACCAAACCACTGCATGTTTCGTCGATACCCCAGTAGGTGGCGACAAGCTACTGTCTTAATGAGTGAGTTATAACCATTTATTCAAACAATTCATTCAGAAAAAAGTGAATAGCCTATATCACTGAGTCATTCATTTAACTTATTCAAATTCACTCAGACAGGAAACAAGGAAATGCCTCTATGTGTGAGTCATTGAATTCACTCAACTGATTCTTTCAAAAACACAGATTCATTCAGGAGCGAATCGACAGTAGCTACTGCGCTTTTAACGGTTCATCCTGCTTTGACATTGAAACAGTTGTCAAAAATATTCAAATACATTTTCTGGAGTGAATTATCACAGTACAGTAATTTAAGCATGACCCGCAGTGTCCACTTTGAGAAAGTTATTAAGTCATTTATTAAGTTAAGTCATTAGAGAATCATTTGCATCCTGTCTGTTCAGTGAGTCGAATTGTGGATGTTCGTATGGATCAAACCGCCAGAAATAAGTTGAACCAGGTAAGCATCTTTCACCTCCTCAACCTTAGAAAAAAAGCTAATATCATGAGGAAGAATAAGGCCTCTGTGTGTATTTATGAAGACCTTGTAGGGCAGGAGGGAGGAGATGATATATGACTGTTGAGACGAGGAGTCCTCTCGTTCGTTCATCCCGCTTTCCAATATGCTGTCACCAAATGTATTTTTAATGAGTCTGACTAACTTTGGCGGCCTGTTCTTGAAGGTCGCATTGACCCCATTTCTTTCTCTGCAACTGTGCAGCTAAGCGTTCTGTCACATATTCACCTTATGTATGGAGTTGTGGCTCTGTAGCTTTATGCATGCCATAAGGTTAGTCTGGTATTAGACAGCGCTGTTCTAGTCATTGTTTGACCTTGTTGGAGCATAAAAGTACAGAAAAACATGTGAAAGAAATCTATCAGGGTGCACTGAAAAGTCCTTGTACAATAAAATAAAACAAACATAATTAGACAAGAATCCAACATGACCGAGAGAGAGTGTTGCTCTGCCTCCTTCTCACATAAAATAAAAAACAGACACTACAAATGTCTAATGGTTGTTTTGAAGACAACTGTCTGCCAGTTATAGCTGAGCCAGGGGCAGGTGAGCTCGAAGAGAAGAGAGCTTGTCATGGTGGGCTGATGGGTATAGCTTCATAACTTTACGGTTGAACCACTGATGTCACATGGACAATTTTAACGATGTCCTTACTACCTTTCTGGGCCTTGAATGTGGTAGTTGTGTTGTTGTCAATGCAGGGTTAAAAAGCTCTCGGATTTCATCAAAAATATCTTCATTTGTGTTCCGAAGCTGAACAAAGGTCTTTTGAGTTTGAAACGACATGAGGGTGAGTAATTAATGACAGAATTGTCATTTTTGGGTGAACGAACTCTTTATTACTTTTATTCAGCAAGTACACGTTAAATTGATCAAAAGTGACACTTTTACATTGATACTTTTTAAAAAATGTATTTCCAATATATGATGTTCTTTTGAACTTTCCGTTCATCAAATAATCCTAAAAAAAAGCATCACTATTTACACAAAAATATTAAGCAGCACAACTGTTTTTAACAGTGTATGCACATTCAAATATGCTCCCTGTAGTTGCGTCACACATTTGAAGTCAAATACCATTGGTTCTCATGTATCACCATTGACACTGATGTCAAACCTGGCAACTCATTTAGAATATTTCTTAAATATATGTCATGATCATTGTCTTTTTTCATAAATCTCCTCGAATGGTTGCTTGCCACACTTGGCTAGCTGTTTATCCTTCAATCTGTGTTAATTTATGTCTGTTTATACAGTATTCTCTGGGGCATTGGTCTGAAGTGCTGTAATCTGATTTTATGAGATGCTATGTTAAGTTATCTTTCCATTATTACACACAGGGAAGGTGATGACAGCCATGATCAGCAGACCCAACATTTCACAGAAACTTAATGGCTGTAGTGCGCTGAAAACCCCCACCCTCTAACACGGGAATACAAATGGTCTCCTGTGTTCCTCTAAATGTATTTTAATGAACATCCAGCTGATATAACTTTTTAAATAGATGATTTCTTATTATATTTTATTTATTAAAGTTTTGCTCAAAAAGGCTGTTCAGCACTCACAATCAGTATTTATTTGACAGCACACATAAAAACATAGCTAGGATTTTATGAAACATAGCTTTTACGAATTCTTCACACAATCATGACAATTTTAGTTTGAAATATTTCCTATTTACTTTTTTTTATGTACTTTAGTATTTATTTATATTTTCAATATACTTGTTTAAGATTTTAATTGTACAATTTAATTAAAATTTTTGTTACGCGTTTTTGTCCTTTTCTTTTTTTTTATATTTATATTTAGTGTTAATCCATTTTTTTGTTTTAGCTTTAGCAATTTTAGTACTTTATCTTATATAAGTTATTTAACTTATTCTAATTTTCATGTTGTTTTTATTTAAGTTTACATTTTATAGTCAACCACAAACCAAAACAAAAAATCACAATCCACTGGTCTGTGAAACATTTATGGACCATCCGATCCAAACGGTTTATAGTGAAGGTCCATTTGATTTGACACACTCATGTTATCAATATTCCATTCATGCCCTTCTTATTTTTCAGTTACTGTAAAGCCCCATGTTCATGTGTTGACATCTAGCACATGCTTGAAAGTACATGCCACATTTGTGGTCACTGTTCCCCATCATTCTGACATGCAGCTCTATAGTGGCAGCTCTTTGCCGCAAGAGACCTTTGAAATATTTATCTGCTTTCCCTGCCAGCAGAAGTCACTGCTCTTTAGTAGCGTTTCACCAGGCGGCAGGATAAGAGAGTTGTCTGTGCCAGGGTCCCGATCATATCCTGCTGAGCGACTCTTCTCATTGCAGCTGGAGGAAGAAATTATGTGTCATTCTGTCTTATAATGTTTTAATATATGCACTTTGAGCTGTGTTATAGTAACATCAAATGCAAACCGGTTTTGTTCAGCAGTCATTGCGCTGTCCTCACATATTTTCACTACAGTGCCCACGCAGTCATTCTCAGGCGTTTGAAACCTGTGAATACATCAACAATATACAATTTAATGACTAAAATATTAAACTACCCAAATTAAAGGAACAGTTCACCCAAAAATGAAATTTTGCTGAAAATGTACCCACCCTCCAAACAGGTAAAAATGTCACAGTAAGTACTCCACATGACTCCAGTCCATCAATTAATGTCTTGTGAAGTGAAAAGCTGAGTATTTATGAGAAACAAATCCATCATTACGGTGTTTTAACTTTAAGCTGTCGCTTTTGCAATCCATAATCTATAAAAATGCTTCCTTCAGTCTCCTGGTGTCCTCTCACTCCAAAATCGCTTGTAAATGGTGCAAAGGATTGATTGGTGAGCAAGTGATGTAATCTGTTCTGATGAAGAAACAGACTCATCTACATCTTGGATAGCCTGAGGGTGAGTACATTTCCAGCAAATTGTAATTTTTAGGTGAACTATTCCTTTAAGCAAATGGAATGCTGAAGTAAAATATTCAAATATAATATATAAATATTTCAATAATAAAACAGAAAAACAACCTGGGTTCCAGACGCTCTTTTACTTTTGCTATGGATAAGATGTAGGGTCCAATTTGTCGTGCAATGGTTGTCAAGTAGGAATTTTCTTGCTTCAGCTGCAGAAGGTCATGGAGCTGTGCTGTAATTAGCAAATTAATTAGTTGACTAATTAGTGGAAAGAAACAGCTTAACATGCATGGCCAAATGAACCCTGAGGCAGCACAGACAACTTGTTGTTTTTCCTCACCTTCGTAGATCTCTTGCTCTTTGGTTACTCTTTGAAAGGTCACATCCCATATCTAGAAAGACATCCAGAATATGCTAAGCTGCTGCTATGTTTTGAAAGAATAATGGTTTTGCAGGAATTATAATTTAGCCTCACCTCCTCAAATATGGCCCTCTGGGTCTGCACAGCAGAATACTGAGATGCGATCTGTTTGTCAATGAGTACAGACCTTTCCAGGATCTCATCCATAGTGTCCGTGTTGATGAGAGAGTGATGTTTTGTTAGGTCTCTGTGCATCTCCTGAACCTCGTCCTTCAGCTTCTGGACCTCTGTCTGAAGAACCTGGCGCATTAAAAATGCATGGAATTAATAAAATAATACACATATACACAACCGTTATTTTACGAGACCCCAAAAAGACAAACAAACATTGTTTAGAGCATACATGCATGGAATGAAAAAGCATTTTATTCTCTTGGTTGCAAATAACTGAAATGCAGCAGCATTCAAAAATTGTGAAATAATACAGTTAATGTGGTATAAAAGAAACAGTTAATTGAGTGTAAAAGAGTGTAAGGGAGATCAAGTTTATAGTATGCATGACATAATCATTAAAATCATTAAAAAAATATTTTGAGGCTAACATATTAAAAAGTTGACACTCGTTTTTAAAAAGACTAATAATTGTTTAACTTTTTCAATGTTTAGGAGTACACTAACTTATCCAGACCTTACACACACACAGAGAATAAAAACCATACATCTTTATAAAAGACTATATGGCTGCAGTTATTACTGAATGAGGACTAATTCTTACCCTGTAGCTCTTCTCAAAGTTGCGGCAGTGCTCAGTGAAGGGTGACTCTCTGCCCTCAGCAAGCAGCACTTTGGTGCAAATGTTTCGGTGAAAGGTGGGCCTGCGGCCAAAAGGCATTTCACTGAGAGAAGGGGACGGGCACGACATAGACAGAGGGGACAGCCTATGGTAGGATAAGAGAGAGAGACAAGTATGACAACACTTTATTAAATTCAATTATTTTACTTATCCTGTAACATTCTTATTCTTATTTTGGGTTTTTGTTTAAACAATGCTCTCGTGAAGATTTTTAAACAACAGTACATTTAACAACACTAAATTAGTAAAAATTTTGATAAACAGTTAATAAACAATTAAACGCACATCAAACAAAACAAAACCTATTTGTTATCTTCATTATTTATTTTTTTAACCAAAACTACATTTTACAGGATTAATAAAGAGGTTGTATTTATAATGAATAAACATCTAATGCAGTGTTGTTTTAATATTACTATTTAATATCTAATATATTGAATATTATAAATATATTTAATATTAATATTCTATTATTTATTAATATTTTGGGTTTTGTTTTTATTTGAATTGTATATTAAATGTAGTAATTATGTTAATTTTATTCGTTTTTTATTTTACTTCTTAGCTTTCATTTTTATTTACATTATCAAATTATTTTTCAATTATTACATTAAAATTTTAAAGCTTTAGTAATTTTAGGACTTCTACGTAAACATATTTATTTCAGTTAGCCAAGGCAACAGTTCTACTCTTTGTTTAAGATTTATGATTAGCTTTTTTAACCTAATATATTTTCTTTTATTTCAGCTGTATTTCAGATAAACATTTTTTAAAATATATTTAGTTAACAATACCAACACTGATTTCAAAAGTTTAATGTTCTATGTCTTAAGCAGAGCAATAACAGATTATATAAAAACAACCATCAAAACATTGACATTCAGACTTATTTTGAATAAAATTTAACTGAGATTCTGTTGCTTATCACATTTTCAGAGCTTCATGACCATTGACGCTCCCTACATTTAACGGTGCACAGAAATGCAGCATTCCCACCTCTGCATTCACAAACCTTAGTTAGAAATTCCTGAGGTTCAGGAACAGGAGTTAAAAGCTTAAGAATGAAAAGCCTATTGAAAGCTCATAACGAAGCAAACATCGAGAAAAAAAAGTGTTACCTTAGTTTCAAAGCTTGTTTAATCTCTCTTTCCTAGTTCCACGTACCGTGTCGGTACAAGTCCCACGAGTGAGTCTGGACACTGTATGTTCTCTGAGCCTAAGTGACAATGTCCCACCCCCGAACTTTTACCAATTTAAGATGCTGGCACCGGCGTGACATCAGCAGCATAGGAACAAAGTGCTCCCATGGCCTAGCGCCTTTGTGTGAGCTCTGTGCTACGAGCAGGATCCGAGACACTTCTCTGAAATTCTGTTAAAAATAGTGAAAGAAGCCTGACCTCCGTACTATATCTGATGGCACAGGGACAGATGGGGGAGGACGTTTGTTTGGTGGAGGGCTTCACAAACCTGAGAACGGTATGGATGATTGATGTGGAAAGTTGTCACAGGGACTTGCGTCATTGGACTCTATATGGAGAGATGGAGGCTGCTGTGGAGGAATGGCTGTATTCATTCTGATCTCTTATCACCTTGGGTATTACGTGTAGATGCATCGAGGCTGTAATGCTGAGTCTTTTGTGTAAACGTGTGGCAACAGCAGATGGTGTGGCATGGCAATGAAAATTCAATATGGAAACTTTTAATCATGACAGTGGACTAAAAGGATTAGAACTGATATTTTGCAATGGCTCCAACAAATATTTAGACGCTTAGGCCAGACCTAAAAATGCATGACATAGCATTACATAACAAAATATCAAACGGATGCATTAAATTGATATCTTTAGTTTAATTCATTAAAATATTTAACGTAATTAACACAGCATCCCATTTTTTTACCTGGCATCCTTTGACTAGTGCTACAGTAAACAGTACAGTACAGACTATATGAACCTGCTGTCAAGCACTATAAGACGCAAAAGAGAACTTAAAGCAATAGTTCACCCAAAAATGAAAATTCTGTAATTACTCACCCTCATGACATTTCAAACCCGTAAGACCTTCATTCATCTTCGGAACACAAATAAAGTTATTTTTGATGGAATCCAAGAGCTTTCTGTCCCTGCATAGACAGCAACGCAACTGACACGTTCAAGGCCCAGAAAGCTAGTAAGGGCATCGTTAAAATAGTCTATCTTACATCAGGGGTTCAACCTTAATATTATGAAGCTATGAGAATACTTTTTGTGTGCAAAGAAAACAAAAATAATGACTTTATTCAACAATTTCAAGGCCCTTTCTGGGCCATAAAACATTTCAGTTGCGTTGTCTATGCAGGATAAGAAAGCTCTTGAATTTCATGAAAAATATATATAAAAAATACATAACAATTAATGACAAAATGTTCATTTTTGGGTTAACTATCCCTTTAATTCAGTATTGACGTGCTGTCTGTAAAGCAGCACTCTGTGAACGCAGGCATCCGACAAGTGCATATGTACAGAAAGCTGCTTCAGACAGCATTTTTGGCGAGTGACCTCGTAAACACGGTTTTAAATTAGTTAAAAAGTCCTAAATGACCGTAAAGAGTTGGGAGAAAACCTGCTGCAGTCTGTGTCATTGATGTAAATCACAGAACAAAAGAAAAAGAGAATTCACTTCGATGCTCTTAAATTATTACCTTTTGTTTCTTGAATAAAGACTCTATATTCAGCTTATAGTTTACAATTTATAGTTTATGTGAATATTGTATTAAGTTCCCTATTTTTCAAAGCCTATTAAATGTTAAAAACAATGGCTTTCAATTATACTGTAATGTTGAATGACCACAATTAATGAGACATCAGTAGCAGAATTGGTATCAGTGATACTGGCCTTCATTAATAATAGACTAAGAAAAAACATTTAAACGCATATTTAAAATATACCATCTTTATGTTGTTTTGGAGATTTGATGTGAAATTATGAAAAATATAAGTATATTAATATGCAATTAATCACAATTAATTACAGAAAAGTGTGTGATTAATTAGTTATTTTGTGCAATTAATTTGTAATTTTTTTCATTAAATGACAGCACTAATATGCTGTATATGTGTTGTTGCGGATATGCTTAGTATCAGTTTCATGGACGTTTAGTTTGTATTCAGTTGTTCCTGTGTTCCTTTGTTTGATAATATGTATAAAATTTCCTTTTTGATTCTTTCTGGTGTCAAACTTTATGGAACATGTCTACAGTTCCTGTAAAAAAAATAATTGTTTTAATGGCAAGTTCATTCAAGTTAGGCCCGAGAAAAGCTAATCATGGATTGATATTTTGTTATCTAACTCAAATACTAATGTCCAGATACTCTTTGGGGCTGTTGTATAACAGTATGCACTATGGCATGTCAAACAAACTCAGAACTAGTTTCAAAAGCTGGAACTGCACAGCTAACGTTCATCAGCCCTGAAAATAGCTACTACACTATGCAGATAGACAGGAATCAATGCAGACATTAAGCAGATATCCCTCTCCTCTGGTTTCTTGGAAAAATGCTTGTAAAAACTCCATATAGTTCACTCCATGGCAACAGGAGTTTGACACAACCCGGAATTCAATGAGACCTGAGGTGGATTCAGAGAATAGGAATTTAGGATGACATCCCTTTCTTTCGTAAGCTCTGTTAGTATAGATTTGCACTGATACCTGCACATGTTCACTTCTGCTGCACTAATCTTTCTCACTGCAAACTGATCAGGAAACAGTACTCATATGCAGCTATATTATGAATAAGGCTCTGAAGTGCTCCAGTCAGTGGCATAACTCTCTGAGCCCTTCTCCCGGAATGAGAGCTTTCCAGGAAGTCTGGCTCATGTATCCCTGTGCCTCATGTTATCACCTCAGCTCCTGGCGCCTCACAGACACAGGACTAACTCTGGCTATAACAGGACAGTTGCCACCTGGTGCTTGTCAGGGAAAGTTACATAAATGTTTCTCTGTTTAGGAGCTTAATAACCGGCTGAGTAAGCACCAGAGTAATGCCAGTGTCTCCTTCCTGTTGTGTGCTGTCAGCTCTGAGCCATTAGACAGAAATCAATAACTGAGTATCTGAGTATACGAAATGGGTGTCTTTTGCGTCCCTAAGAAGTAATCAAACATATAATTATTATAACAACAAATAAATTTGTGATTTAAAAATATATGTATTCTCTCATCAATATTACATCAAAAAAGTCAATTAAATATTAAAAATAAATAATGTAAATAGCATTGATGCTGATTAGGGTAAGGTTTTTGGCCTGTCCCTCACTATGGTTTTTCTTTTTCAGCAGGACGTTTAATATGAAGTCAAAATTATATAAAAATCATATGTGCATATTGTTCTAAATACAGTCTCATTGCTAAGCAATGTTTTTTGGCATAAGTAAAAAAAAATTCTATAAATTATAAATCATTTTATTGGTGTTCCCTTGTTTCATATCAGCCCTGTTACCCTAATGAAAAAAACCTTGTAAAACAATGTACATTCAAGTGACATCACTTCTAGGACGTTACAATGCACAATGAACTGACTTTAACTTAACTTAATTTGAATTATATTTTACTTTGGACATATACCTTTTTTTATTATCTCTCTTGTAAAAATATATATTTTTTCTAAATTGACTTGCAGTTACCCTCCAAAATTAGGATGTTCCTGCTGAATATAAAAATATAAAATCAATATAAAAATCATATGTGCATATTGTTCTAAATACAGTCTCATTGCTAAGCAATGTTTTTTGGCATAAGTAAAAAAAAATTCTATAAATTATAAATCATTTTATTGGTGTTCCCTTGTTTCATTTCAGCCCTGTTACCCTAATGAAAAAAACCTTGTAAAACAATGTACATTCAAGTGACATCACTTCTAGGATGTTACAATGCACAATGAACTGACTTTAACTTAACTTAATTTGAATTATATTTTACTTTGGACATATACCTTTTTTTATTATCTCTCTTGTAAAAATATATATTTTTTCTAAATTGACTTGCAGTTACCCTCCAAAATTAGGATGTTCCTGCTGAATGACAAATATAAAAATTATTTAAAAAATCCCAAATTTGAAACAATCCCAGTGAAATGAGGGACTGAAATGCTGCTCATATGTGAAAACTATCACATACTGCAGTTCTAATTAAGATATAGTAGTAATGCTTGTGTTTGTAACATGGTTGACTTCAATGATACAATTTCTTGTCATTTTAAGCTGTTTTCATTTCATGGATATTTAAAAAAAATGCTAATTAAACTTATTTTATATTTCAATTTTTCCAAGTGGAAAAGGCATTGATTTCGTGGAAATCGATGACTCATCAATGCTTTATTAAAAATAATAAATATATATAAATATATATTTCAAAAATGTTTTTGAAAGTAGTCTTTTAAGTTTATAAAGGCTGCATTTATTTGATCAAAAATAACAGTAAAAACTAGAGGTGCAACGATTCTCTGTAAAAGACCGAACTGTACAGTTTGCCACCCTCAGTTCGGCACGCATTTGTACCGCGATTAATCTCAGTTCTAACAAAGGATTTGGAAGATATGTTTTGGCGAAAAACAAGGCTTCAAATACACATTGGGGTGACAACTTTAACAACTTTCTGAAACCACACAGCCAAACCGCTACAGGGTGGCTACAGGAACAAAGCGCAGCAGAAGAAAATGTTTATCTCCATGAAATGGCAGCAGTGTAAACGAATAAACTAAAATTTATAAGCATTTAGTGGAATTCTCTCTTAATTTGAGCTGCTGTGTTGTTATATGAACAAATATTATTAAAGGGGTCATGACATGAGAACCCCACTGGCATTCAGCCACTTAAAAGTCCGCGTGAACCGGAAGTTGCTGTCGACTTTATTTCAGTATGGTGACGTATATCCAACTGAAACGGAATATTTAGTAGAGGGTGGGGTTTTATTTTTGTGCTCCTCTTCTCATCTCTCACTTGCAGGAAACTAAAGGCCGTATGTCCGCCAAAACGCTTTTCCCCACAGCTAGTGTATTTTTTCAATTGTTCTCAATGGGAGCGCCACATTTTTTAACATGCCAGGAGCGCACCAAGTGCTGAGCATCTTTTTCGCGCTGAGCGTTTGGCCATTTTTTTCTCAGCGCCGAGAGTTCAAGAATGTTCTACTTTGGGTAAAACGCTGCACTCATCGCTGTCACTTTCTAGTCAGCTAACCAATCACAGTGGAGAAGGGGTGGGACTAATACCGACCACCCTGCTTGTACAACGACTGAACAACAATGAAGGTAATATTGCTTGCCTCCGAGTATTTATGTCTTTAACAGATTGAATTGCCGGACTACCATATATTGTTACAAAAAATAATGCTTGGAGAAACATTTCATTCCCTATGTGTTTGCCATTACTTCAGTAGATATTCTGTATCATAGCTATTCTGTATCATAACAACCACAGCGTCTCAACTGAAAACGGTTGGAGGGGTGTGGTTAAGCAAATTCTGCCCAAGCCGTCAAACTGACGTCATCAGAGAAGGCATTCCATTCCAGAGCGGAACAAATGATCAGATTTTGATTAAAATTTACCAAGACAAACAATTTTTTGTGAACGGATTAATTGTTATTTGTTGATCTTAAGACTAGTAATGTGCGCTAACAAAATAAATATTGTACATTTTTATTTCATGGACTTTAACGGCTGACACTTGATTATGCTGAATGTGAGTGTCGCGTCACAAACAAATAGAAATTACAATCACTGCCGCTATCTTGTCTACACTATTATTAAAGGGGTCATGACATGAGAACCCCACTGGCATTCAGCCACTTAAAAGTCCGCGTGAACCGGAAGTTGCTGTCGACTTTATTTCAGTATGGTGACGTATATCCAACTGAAACGGAATATTTAGTAGAGGGTGGGGTTTTATTTTTGTGCTCCTCTTCTCATTTCTCACTTGCAGGAAACTAAAGGCCGTATGTCCACCAAAACGCTTTTCCCCACAGCTAGTGTATTTTTTCAATTGTTCTCAATGGGAGCGCCACATTTTTTAACACGCCAGGAGCGCGCCAAGCGCTGAGCATCTTTTTCGCGCTGAGCGTTTGGCCATTTTTTTCTCAGCGCCGAGAGTTCAAGAATGTTCTACTTTGGGTAAAACGCTGCGCTCATCGCTGTCACTTTCTAGTCAGCTAACCAATCACAGTGGAGAAGGGGTGGGACTAATACCGACCACCCTGCTTGTACAACGACTGAACAACAATGAAGGTAATATTGCTTGCCTCCGAGTATTTATGTCTTTAACAGATTGAATTGCCAGACTACCATATATTGTTACAAAAAATAATGCTTGGAGAAACATTTCATTCCCTATGTGTTTGCCATTACTTCAGTAGATATTCTGTATCATAGCTATTCTGTATCATAACAACCACAGCGTCTCAACTGAAAAAGGTTGGAGGGGTGTGGTTAAGCTAATTCTGCCCAAGCCGTCAAACTGACGTCATCAGAGAAGGCATTCCATTCCAGAGCGGAACAAATGATCAGATTTTGATTAAAATTTACCAAGACAAACAATTTTTTGTGAACGGATTAATTGTTATTTGTTGATCTTAAGACTAGTAATGTGCGCTAACAAAATAAATATTGTACATTTTTATTTCATGGACTTTAACGGCTGACACTTGATTTTGCTGAATGTGAGTGTCGCGTCACAAACAAATAGAAATTACAATCACTGCCGCTATCTTGTCTACACTGGATACAGTATACAGAAATGTGTTCACTTTCTGACACAGTCCATGCGCTTGGGTCTTTCAATAGGACAAAATTGTGACGTGACATGTGGCCAAGTATGGTGACCCATACTCGGAATTTGTGCTCTGCATTTAACCCACCCAAAGTGCACACACACAGCAGTGAACACACACACACCGTGAACACACACCCGGAGCAGTGGGCAGCCATTTATGCTGCGGCGCCCGGAGAGCAGTTGGGGGTTCGGTGCCTTGCTCAAGGGCACCTCAGTCATGGTATTGAAGGTGGAAGAGAGCACTATACATTCACTCCCCCCACCTACAATCCCTGCCGGTACGAGACTCGAACTCACAACCTTTGGGTTACGAGTCTGACTCTCTAACCATTAGGCCACTACTTCCCCTTGGACTGAAAGAACATTCACTTTGACGCATTTGGTTTAAACAGCTCATTCTCGTCTTTGTACAGATATCAGAAGGTTCCCAGCATAAGATTTTTTGCTTTGTCTGGAATTGACCGTTTTATTTTGATTATGTTGTCAAAACACTTACATGCAATAGTGAAGGGGCGTTACTGTTTCCTATGCAATGAAGTTAGCCAATCATAACAGTGGCCAATTACTGACAAGCCTTACAGGACCCGCCCCTTAAACACTGGTTGTTTCAAAGAGAGGGTCAGAATGAGGGTTGAAAAGAATAATTTTTCCACATATTTTTTTGTGTGCAAAAAACTTTATTAACATTATAATTAAACATCAAGAAACATAGTACAAAATAAAAAAATAAAATAAAACCATGTCATGACCCCTTTAAGTTTTTGGATCTCTAGATTCATTTATGATTTGAACTTCGTCCTGTGTGATCACTGCTGTCATTGGAAGCTTTAGGCAAATCAGACTCTATTACATTGATTTCCAATGGATTTGACATTATGTAAATATAATGAACTGAAATCAATGCGCTTGTTTCTGTTTTGCAAACAATTTTACAAACAATTTTAGTTTTATCAGCAATCGAGTTAAACTTGAAAGACTTGAGGATGTGCGTGCATGATGGAGTGCATTAGAAAGGAGTGCAATTATATTTACAGAAATATGAATTTTACTTGAGGCAAACTTTTACATTTATTATTATTATTATTGAATTTTTTTAGCAAACAGACAGTAGAGTATTCTTGTGGAAATTTCTAATAATACTCCCCTTATCCCTATACCGAACCGTACCGAAATATGACCCAAAAACCGCAATATGTACCGAACCGTAAGAAATTTGAACCGTTACACCCTTAGTAAAAACAAATGTGAAATATTATTGTGATTTAACATAACTGCTTTCTTTTTTAAGATATATATTTCTTCAGTGTCACATGATCCTTCAGAAATTATTTGTTCATTTGATGCTCAAGAAACATTTATTATTATTATTATCAATGTTCAAATCAGTTCATATGTTTGTGTCTTTACTTTAAAAACAAATTGCATTGACCCCAAACTTTTGAATCAAAGTCTGTAAGTTATTATATATTTACATTAATATATTGTTTTATATTAAAATAGACTCAACCTACTCAAAAAAAAGTTTGTTTATTGTTATCCAAATTAATTTATTGATTGCAAAAATGTTGTGCAGTTTAGATTTTTACAGTACAATTCTTCTAGTTATAAATATCACAAAATTTGAAATGAGACCACCATCATACATAAATGTATTTTTCAAAAGCATTTCAGCAAAGTAAGCAACACAGTCAGTACAAGGCCAAACAAACAGAGGTAGAATAACAGTGCAGCCATATAACATTTCTTGCATAATACTATGAATGATGTAACAGATAAACTGCTCACCTGTTACTCAAGGTAGTTCCTGCAGTTACAGAGCCAGGCCTCCGCTGGCCCAACAACAGAAGAGGCTCCAGACAGCGGGCAAACTCAGCATGGTAGTCTGTGTTTATCTGTAGGTTTGATGCATCTTTAGTGTCAGAGATCTGCACAATGGTCAGTATGTTTGATTGTGAGCTCACCTTATTACTCTGGACAGGACGAAACTTGTGAGGAAGCTTTACAATGCTACACAGTCTGTCCATCAACTGCTGTTAAGGGTCATAGAGCATGAATTAAAATCAGTTTATTTTGTCTTTGAGGCATTGCATTATCTGTCTAAAGTTTGGAATAATTAAGATTTTTTAATGTTTATTAAAGATGTTTCTTATTCTCGCCAAAGCTACATTTATTTAAATAATTTAAACAATGCACGATTAATCGCATTCAAAATAAAAGTTTATATTTACATACTATATGTGTGCATACTGTGTATATTTATTATGTTTATATAATACACACATACATGAATATATTAAAGAAAAATATGATTTATATATAAAATATTTATATTTATATATCATATAAATTATATACAAGTATAAGTATATATACATATATATCTTTTCAAATATATGCATATATGTGTGTGTATTTATATATACATAATAAATATACACAGTACACACACATATAGTATGTAAACATAAACTTTTATTTTGAATGCGATTAATTGCGATTAATCGTTTTGCAGCCCTATTAAACAATAAAGAAATGTTTCAGCCTATTAGAATGATTTCTGAAGGATCATGTGACAATAAAGACTGGAGTAATAATGGCTTCTGAAAAATCAGCTTGGTCATCACAGGAATACTTTTTAAAATAAATTAAAATACAAAACAGTTATTTTGAATTGTAATAATATTTCACAATATTACAGTTTCATTTCAAATTTTGACTGGTAGGGTATTTAAAAAAACAATTAAAGTATAAATACATTTACATATCCCTAAGTAGATAGATCTACTTACATATCCCATATCTAAGAACTCATATTTATTGGCTGAGCTGAGAAGAGCGGAGCAGTTGACCAGGTGCACCTGAGAACAAAGATAAGATATAAAGTCATATGGTTTGGGAACGACATTAAAGGGTCATATGATGTTGCTAAAAAGAACATTATTTTGTGTATTTGGTGTAATGAAATGTGTTTATGCGGTTTAACGTTCAAAAAACACATTATTTTCCACATACTGTACATTATTGTTTCTCCTCTATGCCCCGCCTTTCTGAAACGTGTAGATTTTTACAAAGCTCATCGGTCTGAAAAGCGAGGTGTGCTCTGATTGGCCAGCTATCCAGTGCGTTGTGATTGGCCGAATACCTCAAGCGTGTGACAGAAATGTTAAGCCCCTTACCATATTGTGATGCCCTATCCAGCCAGAGCGACGAGACAAAAACATTAAAACCCATTACAAACGAGGCATTTGTTGCATCCAGTGGGGACATAATTACAGATTATAATGACTTATACTGTCTTTTTACGCGTTGCATCACGCCGCATAAACAACTCTACACTGCCCAAAAAAACTCACGTTTTAATCGTCACAACAGCCGGCATTGTAGTCTACTCTACCAGGATCAGGAAACAGTCCTCCATAAAATGCGCTGGACACATCTGAATATTTGGGATAAACTGTTCTGGAACAGTGTTGTAAATACAACTTAACCACTGATTTCTAGTCGTGTCCTCTTTTGGAAGGCCAAACAAAGTAGTTTCGCTTTCACAACGAAACAGCGTCACACACCGCGGCCTACAGTGAGCGGAGGCCGGAGGCCTAGAGAGAGCCGCGGCCTAGAGAGAGCGGAGGCCGGCTTGAGTGAGCAGAGGCCGGTGGGCTTTAGAAAGGCGCGGCCGGCGGGCTTGCGGCAACCACATGTGACGACCCCGGGCTGGACTCCGCTTCGTCCACGGTGAAAGCCGATCCGGCGATCGACAGCGCAAAGTTGATGTATTTCCTCAGCGACCAGCACAGATCAGCTCTAGGCATGACGAAGCTGATATCGTCCTCTTTTGGAAGGCCAAACAAAGTAGTTTCACTTTCACAACGAAACACGGCGCCTTCACGACATGGCGGCGGCGGCAACAACAATACTACATCGAGAATAAAAGTTACGCCTTCTTTCTTTGCGTGAACATTTGGGCGGTGTTATGCAAATCTTCCCAGATAGTGAGGTAGATATGTGGGGGCGTGTTAGAACGAGCCGTTTTAGGTAGGCGTGGTTGACTCTTAACTTTTATAAAGAATATCTCTTTGGATTTGAGACGTTAGTCTTTGCAACTTTACAGATCTTCTTTATGCACCAAGAGGTTGTAACACTCCAAAGAGAAAGGAAAAATTTAAATCGCATCATATGACCCCTTTAAGATGAATAAATGATGACAGAATTTATATTTTTGGATGAACCATCTCTTTAAAGTACCTGAAGAGTGGGCAAGAGGGTGGCCAAGTGAGAAAGCTGTTTCTTTAGTGCTTTCTCCTTCTCTTCATGTTGACTGTCAGACATTTAATAAACATATTAGTACCCTCTGGGCCAATGTATACACAACACAAACTTTTCCACACAAAAACACTGCATATTTCCCAAAATCATTCTTATTTTAGCATTTCGTCCTTTGTTTGCTCTTGCATGACCCTGATATAAAACACACACGCACACATGTTCACGCTGAGTCCTAGATTGCAGCCTGGCATAAATAGCTTAATTCCTGGAAGACATCAAGCCAGCTTCCAGGCAATGATGGGAAGGGGACGGGGGACGGGGGACGGGGGACGGGGGACCTTATTCTAAATAAAGCAATATTATGATTATGGGTCCCTGTAACGCTTCACGATTCAATTCTCAGACCATATGGTGCAAATGCAAAAATGAAACCAAACATAAATTTTTTCATTTTTTCAGTTACTTCATAAATTAATAATTGCCATCTTCTCTCCTTTTTTCAGTTTACTAAATTGTGACTTAAGAAATTATAATTTTTTTATTTTTATAACAACCGCAGCTGTGGAAAGTGGCAGCTGAGCATAGCGGAGCATAGCAAATTACTGTATAATGTTTTTCAAATGTAGCCTTTACAGTTCAAACATTACCCTGAAATATATGCAGACGGATTTTCGCGGCATAATTAAAATATCCAAAACCCACTAGAACAGTGTTATATATTTTGCTGACTTGTGTACTTACATTATCCCAAATGTTTCGAAGAATGTTTAAATCCAGAGAAATAAGCAATTTTAACTAGTGTCATTGTGTCGCCTGCCAATGACATCATAACCCCTCGATTTCCGGTTTTGTTTTGTAGAAAACATGGAAACACCAAAGACGCTTTAATATGTTGTGCGTTTTAATAGACCGGTGACGACCGCATTTAACAGATGAGCATTATAACAGAACTTTTAAATGTATCTCGTATGATAAAACAGCTGCTTTTCCCCCCCACATACGCACGGCCGGAAGGAGCGGAAGCGGTCCACTGTGGCAAAATAAGGTGTGTCCTCCAGTGTCACTGTTTTAGTAGGATATATTAAGCCACGTTAAGTGTTTGTGAAACAGTCTGCGGCCACACCCTCGCTAGCTAATGGTACAGCCCACAGCGCAAATTGTAAGATAAAAAAATGGAAAAATAGAAAATTGTTTAGATTTTATTTATTCAAATCAGTACGTTTACATGGGCAACAATACTCCGATTTTAATATGATTAAGACAATAGTCTGATTAAGAATCTACCATGTAAACAGAGATTTTTGATTACCTTAATCCGGCTAAAGTCATAATCGAAGTAAATGGAAATCGAATTAAGACTTATACTATACTGAAGTGCAGAATAGACATGTAAACACCAAGTGGCAAACTCCCGCTCTCTCTTGTGAAGCCAACACGGAAGTGACTTAAACTGAAATTCGTCAACTGGCCGCTAGAGGCTGGCTGCAACAGGGAGTCAATCCCATAGACTCCCCATGTTAAAACGCCCAACTTTACAGCAGAAAAAAACATGTTTACAGCCTGGTTCAAAAAAAGATTTTGGTCTATATAGCTAATTTTGCCCTTCATGACAACTGTGAGGGGGGTGAATTTTTTCATAACTCATCTGTTTAAATTATATTAAGCCTTAAAATTCTGCATAATTAAGGGCGTGGCCACTTGAGTGACAGGTGGATTGCTGCTGCGGTCACCACCGTCAAGCTAGGTGGGCTTGGTTTCAGCAACCAGCTCCTGCCTCTTTGCCCATTTTCGATTATCCGGAAGTGACGTGCTGCCAAGATGGCGACGGCCGGCTCCGCCCACTTTGAGCTTCAAAAACGCTCTTCGCAAACCTACAGATGACGTCACGGACACTACGTCCATGTTTTTATACAGTCTATACTAAACACCTTAATCACATTATTACCGTCGTGTAGGACTTTTCGCCGCATTTTGCGACAGGATACACACACGGCAGTGGTCAACCGTTTGACGGCAAATAAAAGAGCTTCAACACCGCCATCGTCTGTATGCACGTACAAATAATTAACTGTACTTGAAGCTTTCATAAAGTTAAAAATGAAACACGCAAAACTGTACATGGCATCATCACGAAGACGAACTATATGTTTATACGTGAAATTCCGGAGGGGACGTCGGATGGCGTCGCGTGGTGATGTAATAACGTGTGCCATTAATCGAACTATGTAAAACGGGAACATGATAGGAATATTCTAAAAGCAACTCATGTAAACACCATAATCATAATATTGGCTTATTTAGAATAAGGTAAATAATTAGATTACTGATGTCCATGTAAACATACTGATAGACAGTTTAGACTTATTGGATTTGATTGGACAATATTTACCTTTCAGCTGCGTTTAACATGGCCTTTTTCCTCTCTGCAAGTTTTTCCTTGGAAGAAAAGAATGGATTTTACTTTTGGACTATTTTTATCCTCAACATGCAATTTTCAGTGATGATTTAAGCACATATGTAGCCTGTTTAACACAAATTACATTATCCTTAAATTATATGGTTTGGACGACACGATCTGTGTCAAAGAATTTTTCATCTCTCACAGCTGCCCATTATTCTGGTCTGTGGTCTCAGTGTGCCTCCTCCTGGAGTGTTACCTCACCTGCATGCTGTAGAACAGAGTACAGATAGCACTTTCCTCCTCCTCAGCACTTGTCCGCACTTCACCCAGCATGGCCTTCAGCAATACGATGGCCTCTCGTGCTGACGTCTGCAGCTCCTTCACTCCCTACAGAGCAAAAGAAGTTAGTACAAACTGTATCCACTTGTCGGCCCTCCACAGTGGGGCTGTACTCTTTGACCCAGATGTTGGTCCAGCAGCTTCTAGAACTTTTTTAGTTCACCTTAAAAGAGTTTCAGCTGTGTTCAAAAAATGACATGCATTATAATCTTCAATATACAGGTGCATCTCAATAAATTAGAATGTCGTGGAAAAGTTCATTTATTTCAGTAATTCAACTCAAATTGTGAAACTCGTGTATTAAATAAATTCAGTGCACACAGACTGAAGTAGTTTAAGTCTTTGGTTCTTTTAATTGTGATGATTTTGGCTCACATTTCACAAAAACCCACCAATTCACTATCTCAACAAATTAGAATACTTTATAAGACCAATAAAAAAAACATTTTTAGTGAATTGTTGGCCTTCTGGAAAGCATGTTCATTTACTGTACATGTACTCAATACTTGGTTGGGCCTCCTTTTGCATGAATTACTGCATCAGTGTGGCGTGGCATTGAGGCAGTCAGCCTGTGGCACTGCTCAGGTGTAATGGAAGCCCAGGTTGCTTTTATAGCGGCCTTCAGGTCATCTGCATTGTTGGGTCTGGTGTCTCTCATCTTCCTCTTGACAATACCCCAGATTCTCTATGGGGTTCAGGTCAGGCGAGTTTGCAGGCCAATCAAGCACAGTAACACCATGGTCATTGAACCAGCTCTTGGTGCTTTTGGCAGTGTGGGCAGGTGCCAAATCCTGCTGAAAAATGAAATCAGCATCTTCAAAAAGCTGGTCAGCAGAAGGAAGCATGAAGTGCTCTAAAATTTCCTGGTAGATGGCTGCGTTGACTGTGGACTTCACCTCTCACTGGTAATTACATAACTTTATTTTGATAATTGCATTTTAAATTAATTAATGCAGTGTGTTCTTTAGGTATACAGTTGTGTAGTTAGTATAAATACATTGCTGGACATAGTACTGTACATCCAAAATGGTGGCATTGTTCTTTTACTTGTATGTTCTTTGAGCCGTGACATACTGACTACAACCAAATTTACACTAGAATTGTTTGTGTTCCCTCAGGAGAAGCGTGCTTTCAGAGAATGCCGTCTGCCTGAAAGTCTTAATAAGATGACATCAGACACAAATGAACATGATCTGCCGCGGTGCACTGAGAGTATGCATGAGAAACTATGCGACGCTCTCACACAACGTAAGTCTCATCATTTACAGTAAAGAGTGTGATGAAGTGTCAGACACAACATGAAGAGGAAAGGGACATGCAGACAGGAAAGAAACTTATGTTGAATGAATCTTGTGTAATGTTTAATAAATATTGTGTAATAAGTTTTAAGTTTTAAATGTGCCCTATTTTGTTAGTATCGTTAAAAATAAATATATTTTTTTTATGAATATCAAAATTCAAAATTATTTACTGTCACATTTGATAAATTTTATATCCTTGCTAAATAAAAGTATCAATTCTTTTTTTTCTTCTTTTTTTTTTAATGTACAGAATGGAGTGTACATTCTGTAATGTAAGGAGTATTAGATGATATGGGTATTATACACATTTCAGTTAATGATTTAAAGTTTATAGTTTCTGGAACTATCCATACTTACTTTTTTACTTACTTACCAGAACAGCTTGATCCAGTATTTCACATCCCTGCCTGTATGCAGTCTCAATGTCAATGCAGTGAGTGCGATCCTCACTATATCATGAAGTTAAATATTCATCATAATCACATTCATTTCATTCATATTTTGTTCTTTTATCATTCAAATGCAAAAGTCTTACATTTGCATGTCTCTGAAACACTTGATGCACAGCATGGACTTTTTCTCTGTCGAAAACATGATGTACAGCTCTTCATGGAGCGCTGATGTAAAAATGCAAAACATCAGAGGAAGAATTTATTTTGTCTTTACACACATAAATCAATGATATATGCATTTTTTTAATGCATTCCTTTAGGGAATGAGGATAATTATGGGAAAGAAATTATACTGATAAGCCAATAATTATTTTCTGGTTAACTGCTGATAACAAATAAATTATAAATATATCAATATTAAAATTCTATACCATTTTGTCTAAGCAAATTAACTAAAATTAATAATTTTAAACGCCAAAAGTAAATTTAGCCATCATAGCATTATAATGAACTATATGAAAAATGGATATTCACTTTGAGATCTGCTAAATATTACACTTAACATTATTAATGTTATTTCACTAAACAAAATGTACATTTGCATAAACATTTCTCTGTGTAGGTATACATGAGTATTTTAGCTTTAATTTGTTTATTACAAACACACAGCTTTTTGCTTTACAAGACATTGATGGACTGAAGTCCTGTGGATTATTCTGACGGCACCCATTCACTGTCATTTCTCCAAATCTGTTCCAATGAAAAAACAAACTCATCTACATTTTAGATTGCATGAGGGTATGAAAAATCTTAAGCACATTTCCATTTTTGGGTGAACTATTCTTTTAAAGATTACCTTTATATGAGCGTTAGATGGCAAAAATAATCTATATGTATTAGAGGAAAGATGATGGAAAATACTCACAGCACTTGCGGTGGCCCTCTTTGGTGCGTTTGGCCAGGGACACAATATCATGCTGGGAAAACATCCTGGCTTTGTGTGTGAGCTCTCTGCACTCTCCACACAGTGGCTGGCTGCAGGTGTTACAGTAATACATGGCCCCTGCATCCTGTGCACATATGCACATGCTCATTCAGTCAAAAAGATGTGCCGTTACTATTACTGCTGATGTCTCACAATAAATGAAGTGCATGTATTGTTCAGGCACCTGTGCTTTGCACTCCACATCACAGTTAGCACACTGTACTACACTGTCTGTCGAATTATCCACCAGGAACTTGAGCAAACGGTCCTCTGGGGGAAGTGCATTTGTTCCCATCACGACTGAGGGGTATCTGCAAAGAAACATATAAATTAATGCTTATTAAATTTGTTAACATATTTGAATATCTAATAGCCACCTATTATAATTTTTTTAACTTAATTTTAGTAATTTAACCATTTAATGGTTACAGATCAACTTTACTACAAAGAAATTGTAGTCCGTTACTGATTTCAAATTACATGACAAAAATTGTAGTAAAGTAATCCATTACATTACACACTTTAGGTAATGTAATGAGAATACTTTTAGATTACATTTTACCTAAGTCATTTATCACATTGATGATAATCTCATACCATATTGATATAAAAATACATAGAGTAAGAAAATATATTCCATTCGTTGTAATTAATAACATAACAAAATAAGATTTACATGTATAATTAAATATAAATGTCATGGTCACAAATTTGTTGACATATAACTAATGACCTAGAAATCATGGTGCATTAAACATTATGTTTCATGAGTTTAACGAAAAGCTAATAATTAATTAAATAATAAAAATGGAAAATTAAAATAGGTCATTTTTGAATAACATCAATCAAAATAAAGCACTAAAAAATAGAATATTTAATTTGTTTACCTGCATGTCATGTGACCATTAACCAACTGAGAATAAACATGCAAATGTGATAGGACTTAAATATTTATTTTTAAATCTCAGGGTATACATCAAGTAAATCTATTAGGTGAAAGATGTTTAGATGACAAAAAAGTTTGGGAATGCCTGCATTACATGTAAATAAGATTTACATGTATAATTAAATATAAATGTCATGGTCACAAATTTGTTGACATATAACTAATGACCTAGAAATAGTCCAGAATCTTTTGTTATTTAATAACCTTTCGTTGTAATACATTTTAAAAATTCTAAAACTTTTTATGGTAAAAGGAAAACAAATGTGTTCAGCGTGTTCTCAGACTTTTGGACTCCACTGTATGACACACTGACACAAAAATGTACATCCTGCCTCTCCATCAATCTACTAATTTATCTTGTTTTCATTATAATCAGCTTTTCTGTGCCAGTAACAGCATCAAAGTGGTGAATTCATGCATGAGGGAGTGTGTGGTGCTGCAAAGTACAAAAGTTCATTATCTGCAGAACAAGATCCCACACTCACACTAAACTGAGAAAGATTACACCGCCACACGCGCATACAAACAAACAGCCTATAATATAATAGAATCTAAACAATAAAAATGTTCCTCATTTTGGAACAGCACTGCAGCATTTCTATTGTGTTAGGATGTGGTAATAGACTGCAGTGCTGAATGAAGCACTGCTTATACCCACTGAACCACACACTGCTGGCACCATTACTCTGGTCTTGTAAAGCCAGGCTACTTAGATGACACAAATGCAAGCTTGCAGTGGGCAACAGTGGATAAATATAGCAGGGAGAATTTAGAGCTACAACAAGCTACACAACATATTGTTTTTTTGTACAGTAGTTGGATCGGCGGACGTTAATGAGACCAATATAGTGGGAAACCATCCAGACTTACTTAGTTAGTTAGTTGAATGAATGAATGAATGATGCATTTATATAGCGCTTTCTCGTGTATTGTTATACACCCAAAGCGCTTTCACAAACATGTGTGGGGGGGGTCTCTCCTCAACTACCACCAGTGTGCAGCATCCACTTGGATGATGCGACAGCAGCCACAGGACAACGGCGCCAGTGCGCTCACCACACACCAGCTACAAGACGTTAATGAGACCAATATAGTGGGAAACCATCCAGACTTACTTAGTTAGTTAGTTAGTTAGTTGAATGAATGAATGAATGATGCATTTATATAGCGCTTTCTCGTGTATTGTTATACACCCAAAGCGCTTTCACAAACATGTGTGGGGGGGGTCTCTCCTCAACTACCACCAGTGTGCAGCATCCACTTGGATGATGCGACAGCAGCCACAGGACAACGGCGCCAGTGCGCTCACCACACAACAGCTACAGATGGAGAGGAGAGAGAGAGATAGAGCCAATCAAGTTGATGGGGATTATTAGGAGGCCATGATTGACAAGGGCCAGTGGAGGGAATTTGGCCAGGACACCGGGGTTTCACCCCTACTCTTTACGATGAGTGCCATGGGATTTTTAATGACCACAGAGAGTCAGGACCTCGGTTTAACGTCTCATCCGAAAGACGGTGCTTATTGACAGTATAGTGTCCCCGTCACTACACTGGGGTGTTCGGACCCACACAGACTGCAGGGTGAGCACCCCCTGCTGGCCTCACTAACACCTCTTCCAACAGCAACCTAGTTTTCCCAGGAGGTCTCCCATCCAGCTACTAACCAGGCTCAACGCTGCTTAGCTTCAGTGGGCAACCAGTTTTGGGCTGCGGGGTGATATGGCTGTAGGTAGTTGTCAACAAATATATTAAATATATTAACACAATAAAACACAATAAAAACATGATAACTTAAAAAAACTAAGTCTGCATATATATATATATATATATTGAAAGTAAACTGTTTAAAGTTTTGATGTTTGATAAAATAAATGTAGCTTTGTTGAGCATAACAGACTTTTTTCCAAAAACATTACATACCGGTAGTCTTACTGACCAAAACGTTTTATATAATTTAATGATAGCAAGTAAGATGAACAAAAATGTAAATAAATCCTCATTTTAAACAATATTTACTCAAGGTTCAACTGATCTAACCGACTGTTGAGTTTTGGAAATGACTCAGCTGATTATGCAAAATGTCCAAATATTGTCTGATTAATTTCCCTGGTCGATATATCATCTATCACTAATTCGTTTCACCACCAGTCTCCTGATTTTCTCTGTAAATTGTAAAGAAGCACATAAAAATAGCAGATCTCTGAGTCACTTCTAAACACGATGAAATAGGTCAACACCAGATTGTGTGTAATTGTTATAAGCTGTGGGATCAATGCACCATACACCTTTGCCAAGATGCTTGTTTTTATCAAATGACAATGCTGTGATGTGATCGGAGAGACCACCATGTGGAGTGCTTGTTATGGGGCTAAAATCAGAACACTGTGGACGTTCTGCAGCTGTCCTAATGCTAACTGCCTTAAGAGGATAGCTGCTAGTTGCATGTTGCATGAATTTGTGCTTTAATTTAATTAAACAAAATAAAGCCTCCTTATCGGCATTGATCATGGAACATTTCCATTACACATAAAGTTCTGTATAGTGAGGAAAAATTCTAAGAACTCTTTGGGGAAATGGCGCTTCTATTGCATCACTTCAAAACCCCCTTTTGGAACCTTTAATTTTAAAAGTGAACACCAAGAAATGAATCATACCATCGGAAGAACATATGTTTGTCATCAAAACCTTGGACAACTCTTCAGAACAGAAGACTTGACAGTTATGTATACAAAACTATAATGGGTGGGTTGTACGAAGAAAGATTACAGGAGTTCAGGTTTGGCACTAGATACGTTTTGGAATTAACCCAACATCCAGCTTGAAGAAAACTAGAATAAGTGGAGAGCCAAATGTAACCATTATAGAGGAACTTGGCTTAAGTCTGCTGTGGCTGGTTCTGACTGAATGCTTTTGTCACGATTTCCATTTCCTCACCCCCAAAATCCTTGAGGTAAAGGTTCCTGTTGTGTACTGAGATCTCAATAAAGCAACTGGGAGTTTTTTTCAGTGTCTACCTTGTCCTTATTTAACTTTTGGTTTAATAAAAATGGTTTTTAGTAATTTTTTTATAACAACAAACCAACATGGAGCAAATATGCTGCTTTAATTGGTCAAGCATAATGCATGTACACTTTTCCTATTTGATTTTTGTACTTACCCACAGAGGGGGCAATTGAGGCGATTGTCATGGGCCCTGCTATGCAGACAACTGGCACAGACGATGTGGTAGCAGTCCAGAAGACATGGTTGGTGGTATTGCTCATG